CTACATTTTTCTTTTTATTGTAATTTGACCTTACTTTTGAAGTTCTGCTGAGAAATGAATTATTATTTGCAAGTGTTTAGCATTATTTTATAGCTTTGCTTTCCCTGTTGGTGCACATTTGCTGTTTTAAAGCCTTCACTTTCCCATATGCTTTGTTATGAATAATAGCAATCGTGTTGCCTCCAGTGGAAATAACAAAGAGCTAAGCAGTTGGCTCCCCAACAAAGAACTTGATAATACTGAATTGCTTTTAAGGTAGTGCTTTTATTACTGCCTACTCCTACTTAATTTCACATTGGAAACCCTTGCTACTCCTGACTTTGGTGACCTTTCACTACACTGAATTGATAGCAGCCTGATAGTAGACTATATTAAATTTCTCACTTTGGAAGACTTTGGCATAATGGTAGTTGAACTGGCCAGATTTTAAAATCACCTGAGGAATTAAACAAACAAACAAACAACAACAACAACAACAAACCAGTGTTAAAAATGTAATGGGGGAGCCATCAGGCTGAGATAGCTCCGGTGTTCTGGGTTCCTCCAAAGCAAACTAAAATATAACTCAATGTAAGCAGTAAAATTTGAACTTAACCCATGCAGAAATAACCAACTAATGTTAACTAGTGAATTCACAAAACCACCAACTGACTTTTTTTTTTTTTTAATTTATTTGACAGATAGAGTTAGACAGTGAGAGGGAGAGACAGAGAGAAAGGTCTTCTTCCGTTGGTTTACCCCCCAAAATGGCTGCTACGGCCGGAGCTGCACCAATCTGAAGCCAGGAGCCAGGTGCTTCATCCCAGTCTCCCATGCAGGTGCAGGGCCCAAGCACCTGGGATATCCTCCACTGCCCTCTTGGGTCACAGCAGAGAGCTGGACTGGAAGAGGAGCAACCGGGACTAGAACATGGCGCCCATATGGGATGCCGGTGCCACAGGTGGAGGATTAACCAAGTGAGCAATGGTGTCGACCCTGCAACTGACTTCTAACTAGAGACTTTCCAGACAGAAACTTCCAATTAACCTCTGACTAAAGATTTAATCAGAAACTGCCAAATAACATCTAAGTAGGGACTTATATAAACAGTGTTCCTAATAAATTGAGTCACTTGGTGTACAAATCTCTTAAAACATCAACACCTCTAAGACCTTCTCTTTATTTTGAAGTGTAAAAGAATGATCCATTTGAACATTACATACATTATCAGATAAGTAATAATGACAGAAGCTACTTCTACAATACTTAACCCTGTGCCAAGAACTGCTCTAATCACTTTACATATTAACATATTCCTTATAACTCAGTGAGATATGTTCTGTTATTATCCCTATTTTAATGGACAAAAGAGTTGTGGTCAAGAAAGGTTAAGTGACTTGCCAAATGACACACAGTCAGTAACTAAAATTTGAACTGGGCAGTCTATGCTCTGAACCACCTTATTATTTAAAAAAGAACTAGACAAGCAAAAGTATGTTTTGAGATGATTTTTTTAATATTCCAAAATGCCCAGGCTATAGTCTGAACGTGTTTGCACCTCTGAAACTCATGTGTTGAATTCCTAGCCCTCAAGGTGATGGCATGAGGGGTGGCGAGGTCATCAGTAGTAAGCCCCTCAAGAATGGTTGGGACACATGCTGAATGGGAGTAGTAGAACCCTTATAAAAAGGGCCCAGAGAAGCTTGTGTATCCCTTCCCACCATGCGGACCAGGAAAGAGACCCTCATCAGACACCAATTCTGTCAGCACCTTCGTCTTGCACTTCCGGGCCTATAGGAAGGATGAGAAATTGATTTCTGTTGTTTATAAGTCCACCCATTTTATGGTGTTATAGCAGCCGGAATGGACTAAGACACCAAGTTTTTGGTGTGGTTTGTTTCTTTTTAAACCCTCTCTTTTAGTAGATTGAAAATCTTTTGAAATCTAGCAGCAGGTGCCATCTGCTGAAATGATTAGACTATTTTGCTCATATCAGCATAATCCCACTTTTCCTGTTATGAAAGTAAAAAGTATGCATGATCCTTTATATAATAGAGCAATTCTGTTTATTGAAGAATACAATTTATGGCAGTAATATTACCACCAACCTGTAAAAATAGCAACGCTTTTTAAATTCTCCTATTTTAATGGATTTATCTGGAAGGAGACAAAAAAAACAAAACAAAACAATGCAAAAAAACCACGTTAGTGATGCTGCCCAGGCTCTTATTGAAAGAAAATCAAGAAGCAGAAAAAGGCTTGCCAAGCGCTGTGCTTTTTTTTCCCCAAGGAATATGACTTTATTTTCTAAAATTCAACTTCACAACTCTCATAAGCTCCACTTCCCACAAGCTCTTAATCACAGTCAATTTAGAATTCTCTCCGTTGCTCTTAAAGCTGAATCAAAATCCTGAGAGCTTATGCAAAACCAGGTTGAGGGGTCCATTAGTTTCAGGTCATCTCTCTGAGGAGGTCATTGTCCCAATTAATCCCAAATCGTGAATTCACACTATGTGTGTAGCTATATCTTGTTCCAGCGTACCTGGTCCAATAGTCTGCATGCTATTTCTAGGCCATGCTCTGGACACACAATAACTCAAGAGTTTTTGCCTGAACTAGATACTTGGTGATTATTGATTCACTTCTTTCCACCTGGTCTATTTGGAACATGAGAAACTCAGCAACTGAAGAAGAACCCATGTGGACTGCATGCAAGGGAGGCAACAAGTCTCTGGCAGATTGGGCAAACTCTCATTCAATTTGTGTGCTCCCAGATGCAGCATCATTATCTCTCAGGTGGTTGGTCCCCCATAAGGAAGCTGAGTTCATGTTGTGGTTCTACAAGAGGTATGTGTCCATTGCAGGCTTTACTAAGTGGGTTTTGGATGTTTGCAGCCTAAGACCCAGTGGAAACCATTGGTTCAGGTTCTGGTGAAGAATTTCTTGCTAGCAGAGACCTGAGGTGGCACAGAGCATCACATGGCAAGAAGAAACAGGATTTATATTTTTTAAATCTTGTCTGAAAATAAATTCCAAATTACAAAAAAATTGAAAGAATAAAGCTAATTCAATTGGGACCAGCACTGTGGCCATAACAGTTTAAGATGCCACCTGCAACACTGGCATCCCATATGGGCCCTGGTTCAAGTCTGGTTGCCTCACTTCCAATCCAGCTCCTTGCAAATGCACCTGGGAAAGCAGCAGAAGATGAACGAAGTCCCTGAGCCCCTGCACCCATATGAGAGACTAGAATGAAATTCCTGGCTCCTGGCTAATGGCTTCAGCATGCCCAGCCCCAGCCATTGTGGCCATTTGGGGCATGAACCAGCAGATGAAGATCTTCTCTCTCTCTTTATCTCTCCCTGTTTATTTCTGTAACTCTCCTTTCCAAATAATAAATAAAATAAATATTTTTAAAAAGAAAAATACCTTTTATTCAGATTCCTATTAAATTTAACCCCATTTATTTATCAGCTCTTCTCTTTCTATATTCATGTATTTTTTCTGAAAGTTTTGAGAATAAGTTGCATATATTGTTTCCCATCACCCCAAAATACTTCAGTGTGTATTTCCCAAGAATAAGGTTACTCTTTTATTTGATCTCAATGTACTTTTAATCTGATTTGCTGTTTGAATAATACTGTCTTTTGGAGCATTTATTTTATCTGTTGTACAAGATCCAGTCAAGGATCATTCACCGCATTGAATTGTCATTTATTTTTAGTATCATTTAATCTGGAACATTTCCACAGTGTTTCTTTGTCTTCTATGACATTTTCAAAAAATTTAGGCAATACTTCCTCCTTTTAAAAAAAGTAGGACATTCCTCACTTAGAATTTGTCTGATGTTTCCTGATGATTAAATTCAGGTATGGATTCCAGGCCAAACTCCTACATAAGTGCTATTGCTTCCTTCGCAGGCTATCACATTTGAAGGCACATGTTGCTCATCCGCCCTTTGTTGGTGAGGTTAAATTTGATAATCAAGTCAAAGATTGTGCAATTTTCCACTGAACAGCTCCTATTTTGCCCTTGTAACTAATAAACAATTTGTGAAGAGATGCATTCAGGCAAAATTAATGCCCTGCTCCTAATTCAAATGTCCCCGCGCGAGTTTTAGCACCCATTGACATTGCTTGACTGAGCCAATATTTGCTATAATGGTTGGAAAATTATGTTTTTATGGTTCCAGAACTCATTCTGCATTTACCAGTTGGTACATTGAATTCTGTGATAAAGAAGACATATCTTCATATTTCTATCTATTATCTGTATGAATTCATGGGTTTCTATTTTTTCCTGGTCATTTATAACTTATTATTTTTCTCACTAATTATGCACTCAAACTGTCCCAGATTTGTCAGTGGAAACCCCTTCATATTTTGATGGCATACCTGAATTTTTTTATCATTTCTTTATTTTCCAGTGAAATGTTTCAGGCTTTTCTTAAACCTGCCCTGCTCATGCTTTGGACTCAGCAATTTTTCCAAGACTCTCATTCTTTTTAATGGGAAATGATATTAGACACCAACATCTGAGTGCCAGATATTATCATTCCTTCTGCGGTGTCTTTGCTTCTAAGTTCTTTTGGCACATAAAGGTAGAAAATGTATATTTATACACATATATGTATACATACACATAATGCATGAACACCTTACACACATGCATATATATATATATGCAAACTGTGCTTGAGATTATACATATGTATGAACACATTTGCATAGCTTACAAAGCATGAATTTGTATTGATTCTATTCCATCCCTACATGTTTCTTTCTTGCTTGTCCTTAATCTATATTTGTAAGTCCCTTCTTTTATATAAACACCCTGGTTCCCATCGACATCAACATAGTTTCTCAGTTATATAATACATCTGAAGTAGTTCCATTATCACTTGAACATAGTGGCCTCCCATTCCTGCCTGTGAAAAATTATTGGACCCAGTAAATCGATGACTAGCTATGTGCCCAAAAGAAAAAAAACTCATGCATCTACAAAAAGTCTTAGACAAGAATGTTGGTAGCAATTTTATTCATAGTAGCCAAAACTAAAAACAACTCAATTGTTTTAACAGAAGAATGTATACATATTTTGTGATATATCCTTACAATGGAATGCTACTTTACAATAAAATGGAATGTACTACCACTATATGGCACAATGTGGATGAAACTCAAAAACATTTTATTGAATTTAAAAAGGAAAACAGAAGAAAGAAAAACAATGTATAGTCCCATTTATATATGAACAGACAAACTAATCTGAAGTGAGAGGAACTAAATCACTACTATACTTGGGTTTAGTGAGAGTGGCCCTGGGCAGGACATTGGGCAAGGGCATAAGAAAACTTTCTAGGATTAAGGAAATGTCTTGTATGTTGATTGGCTGTGAGTTACATGGTGCATGCATTCATCACAAGCAATTCAACTCTACCCTTAATATCTACATTTCACCTTCTATACATTATCCCTCAATTTAAAGAATCAGTTGGGGTAGAGGCTGCCCCTTTCAGCTGAGACTAGAAATCCTCTATTTATTTATTTTTATTCATTTGAAAGGAAAAGCAATAGAGAGAGAGGGAGGGTGGGAGAGGGAAAGAGAGAGACAGGAAAAAGAAATGAAGGAAGGAAGAAAAGAAGGAAGGGAGGGAGGAGGGTGAGAGAGACAGTAAGGGGAAAAGAGGGAGAGAGAGAGAGAGAGAGAGAGAGAGAGAGAGAGAGAGAAAGCCACCCACTGATTCACTCTCCAAATGCCTGCCACAGCTGGGGCTGAGGCAGGCTAAAACCATGAGTCCAGAACTCAATCTGGGACTCCCGTGTGCTTTCCAGGGACCAAGTATTGAGCCAACACCTGCTGCCTCCCAGGATATGCATTAGTAGAAAGCAAGCACAGGAAGCAGAGTGGGAACTCAAACTCAGTTATGCTGATATGGAATGCAGGCATACCCAGAGGTTCTTAACCATGTTCCCACAATGCCTTCAGCAGAACTCCTCAACTTAAGGCAGATTGCCTCACTTCTGATCCTCCTTCCTCTTAACTTTCCTGGTCCCTGAATCTATTTGAGTTTGTTATTCCAAACAATATTTTTATTTCCTTTTAACAGTCTACAATTACTTTTTTATTATCATTTATAATATACAGCATAGGTTATAATTTGGCAGTTAATTAAATGACATCATCAATTATTTAAGTTGCTTTAATACAGTAATGACGTGCATATACATGGAGAATGTTTAAATAATACTGAACTTTGGGTTAATCCTCATTTTTGGCCTTTGCCTATCTGAGCCTTTGAAACAAAAGCAAAACCAAACAAATGAGCACAATGCAGTATACTCAGGTCTTGTCAATTGACTACCAACATTAAATGATGAAATATCACTTCAGCAAGGAAACAAATTACTCAGACCTTCTCATAGATTCTGGTGCAGACCACGCCCTTCATCTTACATTCCTTAAAAAGGAGGAAAGAGATTAATTGACTACCAAAAATTCAAATCAGAGAACAATAAATTTATAATAAAATGGAATACATTTATAAGATTAAATTTGGAGGTAATAAAATATCAGTAGATAACCCAGAATTATGACCGCTGAAATAAAATCAGTTTTGAAGTTAATCTATGCTTTTTAAGAAGCAGGAATTTTTACTAAAGTGGGAAGTTTTATACATTGAAATCTACTAAAAGTATAGTTTTCAAAGCTATCTGCACATGTGCATCACCCTGGGCACATTCCAATGTACTAATGCCTTTTCCCTTGTCCCCCAAGTATTTGTGTTCAGGGGATCTGTTTGTGTCCCCATAGTGGAGTGTCCTCTCCATGTAGATCTATTGTGCAACAGGGACTTAGAATCACTGTACTAAAGAAAGAAGTATTCAAATCCTTGCACAATCTATTTATGTGCAAAGTGTGTGTTTATTCGTAAGCTCAGAGCCTTAATTTTTAAAAACCATTAGACAACCTTTGTCATGCTTCATATCAGTTGACAAGAGCTTTCCAAAAAGCTCAGCTTACATTATTGGCATGGTTTATTCTAAGTTACTGTGAATTCTTGAAGGCAAAAAATCCTTATTTCTGCAAATTTTCTACAATTGAGCCTTATGAGGCATATATTACTTTTAAAAATTAGACTTGCCGGGGCCAGCACTGTGGCGCAGTGGGTTAACGCCCTGACCTGCAGTGCTGGCATCCCACATGAGTGCCGGTTCAAGACCCGGCTGCTCCACTTCCAATCCAGCTCTCTGCTGTGGCCTGGGAAAGCAGTAGAAGATGGCCCAAGTCCTTGGTCCCCTGCACCGGTGTGGGAGACCTGGAAGAAGCTCCTGGCTCCTGGCTTCGGATCGGTGCAGCTTCGGCCATTGCGGCCAATTGGGGACTGAACCATCAGATGGAAGACCTCTCTCTCTCTCTCTGCCTCTCCTCTCTCTGTGTAACTCTGACTTTCAAATAAATAAATAAATAAATCTTAAAAAAATTAGACTTGCCTTTTCCTTTGTGAGTCAAAACTAATGAGATTTTTTTCATTCACTGTTTAACTTTATTATCATATTTATGTACTGTTATGTCTAAAATCTTGGGCCAGTATTTGAAAACGAGTCTTTTATGGTTTAAATGTGATTCATGCATTAACTCTGACTTTCTTGTTAGCGGTTTTACCCATTTGTATTCAAACAACAAAGCATATTTTGAAAACAATATAACCAGCTTGCTTATGTAGCATTATTTCTGTCTTTAGAAGTAGAAATATTCTTACCACAACCATTTTCCCATCCACCAACTTCCTCTTTATGGTTGTCTCTTTGCCATCCCATTTCTGTACCTGATTCAATGCGCCTCTTTCCAGGGTTATGATACTCTGCAAAGACAAGTTCATGTCATTGACTGCCCTGGACATCGGGTAACTAAAGTAGTTCATTCAGTATTTTTATCATAGAGGTCTCAGGAGGCACATTCATTTTCAGCAGAATGGAGCCTATGGTTTTAAACACCAGCAGGAATAAGCCTCTCTGAAGCAACTGATGGGACCAACTTGAAAGAGAAACATTAAGGATCACCTTGGTTTTCCTATTGTCAGCTGTGGTTTCTTCAAATTCCTGGCCTAGCTTGAAGGAGATCTCAGTATTTTTGAAGGTACTTTCAGTTCGTATAGTGATGATATCCCCTTTCTTGCTGATGATCACATTGGGTTTGGCCAAATTTCCCAGTTTTCTGGTGGCTAACCCCACACCTGAAAATGAAGTAGTATTAGATTGTGTTGCTCAAGATAATGTCCCCAAGGAGCCTGGAGGTCACAGGTGTGTAGCTGGCAGGTAGTGTCATCTACTACTAGTGCCTCCTCTCATGATGGTTCACTACCTGGTGGAATACATGTCCAGAACTCAAATATTTTAGGTTTTACCATTACAAAAGTAAGTGATGTCTTCAGATTTTACAGAGTACAAATATGCAGCTGAAATAATGAAAGCTGTCCACTTATACCATGTCCAATCTTACCATGTCCAATCATAAATATATCATTATCTGAATTAATATAGATACTATAGTTTGTACTACAAATATTATAAATATATTTTTAAATGAAACGGGAATAAACATGTTGTTCCATTATATTTTTTTCCTTGTTAATATATTGTGATAACAGAGCATAATTCCCCTCATTTCCTTGCCAGAATCTCAACTCTGAAATTTTGTGGCTCCTAAATTTAGCTATTAAGAAAAAACTATCCACCTACTTTCAAGATCTGTACCATTTCAAATGATTGCAAGTAAATAAAGTGATTTTTAAAGCTCTTCTGTGTTTGAAAAATAAAATAAAACTAGATCTTTAGGTTATATTACTGTCATCAAGACTGTTGATATTACTGCTATCATCAAGACTGTAGAAATACATGGAAGAGGAAAAATGTCAAATAAGAAATACATGAAAGAAAAACTTGTCTCCTAAGGCCCCTATGGGAAGTCCAAATGTTTTGATTTACTTTTCCCTCTTTAAAAAAAAATCCGTTTGGTATCTAAACTTATATCTATATTAAACAAGAAGTGAAGAGTTACATCTAATAAACTGTGAACTGTATACTTTTCTCTAATTCTGATTGCTTTTCTATTACATGATTTAGGACGTTTTTCAAACTGAATCATAGTCTCTGCGGTAGAGCTGAGTCTACATTCACCAGTCTGCAAGGTGCTCTTTCTCACTCTGTGATTTGAAAACAATGGAATGAGAGAGTCCCTGTTCAAGACTCTCATATTTTGCCTCTTCTTCATCTGCAAAGTAAAGTCCATAGGTCTAACCAATCACACATGGATTTATCTCATGACATTCGCATAGTTTCCAGGCAACAGTAGCATGATTTTGCTCATTTTAGCTAACACTAGAATGTTTTATACAAGCGTTCTTGACAGATAGGCAAACCTGCAGGCACTGTGACAAGCAGGGCAGCCTGTGGTTCCTGACATCACTCTCCATTATACATATGTTTCTCGGAAAATTTCCAAGAGAAATAGATGTTAAGAGCATCTATTGTGCTCATACTTATGTATCATTCTCTAGAAAGTCTAGAAAATAGAGTTTTAACTAATGACCAGATTTTCCATCCCCATTTGCTGTCCTAACTCCCGGGAAGTTCTCTGATGTTTGAGTAACTGAATTTCAATCCACTGCTACAATCCCAGTTGCTTTTCTCTTATTCACACCCCTAGTCTCTGAACATCCTAACTTAGGAAAATTTTTTGCTTTTCAAAATCCCTGTATCTACAACTGTGTAATAATGGACATCCTAGATGCAGAGAGAGTAAATTTTATTTTGGCTAAACATCAACATTTTAAAGTGGGATTTTCTAGTGCCTTCAATATACTCAACTCCTTCTTTGAGAGGCACTTGAATTGCTCTAAAACCAGGTTTCAGGAAGGCCAGAGGATGGGTTGACTAGCCTTCTATGGCTTCTTCTGGGCCTGCAACTAAAGCCCTATTAGTACAAAATTGTCTTTGAAATCAGTGGAGTTAGCATTTAAATTCTATTAAAAATTGCCACAAACAAAATATAATACATTATCCAAAAGATGGAGAAGAAGATTAACCCCAGAAAAGGATTATAGTTCAACCTATGCAAACTCCCCCGGAGGCCTGGAAAAGGTGTTAGAGGGAAGTGTCCCACAGCTTTCCTTAAAAAGGATCCTCTCAGCCAGAACAAGAAAGAGTGCTTCTTACCCAGAGCTTTCATGTAATCATCAAAATTTTCGCTGGAGACAAGCTTCCAGGTGCCTAGAAATTTGTTGCTCATCGTGATGGACAGAAGCAACTCCGCACAGTTCTAGGTGGGATCCAGGAGACTCCAGTGAGATGCTGAGGCCTCGGAAGATTCTTTTCAAAGATGTCCAGAGCATGTGACTCTCACAGAGACCCAATGGGGAAAGGCAGTGTCAGGACTGGGCAGTGAATGGCTTTTCAATCGCTAGCTGCCCATCCATCAGGATAAAAGAAAACCCACATAATGTTGCCTTTTGTCTCCAAAAAATGTTTATGAAAATGAATGAGAGGTCTATGTGAAACTTCACAAAAATATTTGGCCAATCTTAGATTTAGAAGAATGTTTAGGTATTTAATGCCTTGGAAGATTCTGTGGACTATATGATTGTGAGTGAATGTGTGTGTGTGTGTACATTGAAGCATCTTGGTCATTCTCAATCCTGAGTCTGCACAATTAAGAATTCTTACTGAAAGGGAAGAAAGAAGGGGAAGTGTCCATGAGTATTGTAATAACAGTCTCAAATATGTTGTGGGAGAGAAATGCAGGGAGCAGTGTGAGGAAGTATTCATAGGTAAAGGAGGCTTGGCATAGTTCACATATCCCAGGCAGGGAGAGTAGGCAGACAATGAGATCAGTCTGTTACAGTAGAGTACAGAAATGGTATTCATGTGATAGGACAAGAAGCAACACTATAGCAGCCTCTTTGACCACAGCAAAGATTTTCATCTAAAAAAATCTTTAACTCTGAACTAAGCAGGTTCTTAGTTACTATGGCAACTTTGAGTTTAAGCCATTTAAAAATAAATCCACAGGTCTCTAAAGAAAGGATTTTCTATTAAAAAATAATACTAATGGATATGGGAAGCTCACTACAGGTTAGTCATCAGACTAAGTGCTTAATACAGATTATCTCATGTAATCCTCTCAACAACTCTACAAGTTGTTACTGTTAACATACCAGTTTTACCAGAGAGGAAAACTAGCTGGGGAAGTTAGGTCACTTGCACCCAAAACTTGAATAAGGAGGAGCAGGACCGGAATCCAGCGCTGTCCCCCAATGCCTAGGCCCTAGACCACCATCTCACCCTGCTCTTTCTATATTACATTTGCACAGTGGCCCGGGTCAAAGGGGAGGCGATGCTGACATCATCATGGTTAAAAGTAGTACTCATTGTCTTCTTAAAAATCTTCAGAGATGAAAATCAAGAGATCTAGGCTATGGTGGCACACTAAAGCCCCTGAATTTGACCAAGGGAGCAAAGGCAAGTCCACTTTGAGCATAAGTGTCACTCTTTGAAATGTCTAATTGCTGCCATTCCTTTTCCTGGCAAGTTTTTCACATTCTGATTAATTCTGGTTGTGATACAGCTGATATCACCAGGTTTTATACACCCAAAATATTTCTGTCACCCACTGAAATCTTGATTCCATGTGAGTAGGGACAACATGTGATTTTGCTCATGTGCTATCCCAAGGTATAGCACCATGTGTGCACATAGTAGATAATGAACATTTGTTGACTGAAGAAGGAAAGAAAATTCAAAAATCTCTACTTTTATTGGGGGGTTATTCACAATCATAAAAATACGACAAATGCATCAAAAATGTGTGCTTATGGTCACTAATAGTATCTTGCTAATGTTCTCTCTTCCATCTCCCTCTCCTGCCTCCTCTTCCCTCCTGCTAGAGGAAGAAAATAGCAAAGGCTGTGGAGGCATCCGTAAGTATGGAAATGGGTTGTAGCACCTAGTCCTTCAGTAGTAAAAGCAGGGATTCCTTCGTGTTTAGGATGACATGATCTTGTTGTGACACCAGGAAAGTGCAAGTGAGCTGAGCCCAAGATGCAGAGTGCATGCAAGCCTCCGGGGCACCACCTGCCCCTCCCAGACAGCTCTGCAGGCCTGATATCCATATTCTCCCTTTCATGTTTCAGATAAGCATTTCTTCTCTAAGTTTAACAATGCATAGATTAAAATTGCCTTCTTAAGGCTAGTCATTCCTTGTAACTTTCTCTCTACCAATGGACCTTTGGTCTTCGGTTACTATGGTGACAGTTGCTTTTATGCTGCCCCAGAGGCAGTTAATAGCTTCTCTTTTGTTAAGACAGTAAGGAGCAAGAATAAGTAGCTTTGTGATTCCTCCAAACAATGCAATTAGCTTTGTTTTCTGCTAGAATCTGAGCCACACAGGTTCTTTTCCAAAGGCTAGTCTCAGATTTCACATCATTATTTCTAATTGAACACCTGAGAATTGATGTTATCGATTGTGGAGGGAATAAAAGACAGGATTTCTCATTTCCACTTTTCTTTTCTTGCCAGGATGGCATATACTGAGATTCCATAGTTTTCCCACTCTATTGGCATGTCCTCTTGTACTGAAAGCAATATTAACACTTACAAATACTTTCAAGTAGGTTGTACTTTAAGGCAGTAGCACAAAGTGTTTTTTAGGATTCAGGCAACTGCTCCCTCATCTCTGAGGGCAGAAAGGAATCCCTTTAAGATAATTTACTTGCAAAATGTGGTGAAAAACGTGTGTGTCTAGTAGATTTCATAAGAAACAAATATAAACTCAAAAATTCAAGTGATTTTCTAGTCAAGTGTTATCCTGGTAGCCTGATTTGCTTCCTTTTGTTGTTTCCTTGATTGGGTCTTATAATTTTTTTCCAACAATTCAGAGAAAATGTAATTTGCATGCAAATTTTTTAAAAATATTTTATTTATTTATTTGAGAGGTAGAGTTACAGGCAGAGAGACGGAGAGAAGGGTCTTCCATCTGCTGGTTCACTCCCGGGGTTGGCCATAATGGCTGGGGCTGGGCCAGGCCAGAGTCTGGAGCCAAGAGCTTCTTCCAGGTCTCCCATGTGGGTGCAGGGGTTCAAGCACTTGGGTCACCTCCTACTGCTTTCCAGGCCATAGCAGAGAGCTGGATTGGAAGTGGAGCAGCTGGGACACAAACCGGTGCCCATATGGGATGCCAGCTCCTCAGACACAGGCTTAGCCTACTGTATCTTAGTGCCAGCCCTTACACGTGAATTTTTGTATGGAGATTTCAGACTGAGTAAACTTAGATCAGAGAAATCAACTAGATTCACTTTTAAGTTATATTTTCTTTTATTCACGCCAACACAACCGTAATATCTTTAAAACCTCGTTTTGCAGTTAAATTCTAGCCTATAACATGCCCACAGCTATCCTGAAAAAATGAAATCTCTTAAATTTCACATTGCTGCAGAGTAACAGCAGTTATTGCAATAAACTCCAGAGTCAGTGACTTCACCCCGAAGTTTCTATTTTACTCAATGTCTGGATCGGGATAAACTCTCCTGGTGTCTGAGTAGTTCTTCTCCATGAGGTGACCCACGGGCCTTGGAACCATTCATCTGCTGCCCCCAGCATCCTTTGTGGCCGAGGAAGGCAAGGGTTGCTTCTTACCAGTCCTGACTCAGAAGGGGCCCGTAACTCTTCCACTAATGCAAAATGTTGTCATGAGGCCCCTGGAGACAGGGGAGGGGACAGCAGAGCACAGTGGTTGCCTTGCAGACTCTTCCCAGCCCCCACACTGTACTACGGAAGGGCACCCTCGGTTTCCAGCGAGAAATCAAGCATGTGTAGTAGTGGCACTCAAACTGTGGTCCACAGAGGCCTGACCGTTTCCTAATGTGAAACAGTAGAATGTGTAGTGTGGATTTGCAGTAAGCTCTCACCCACCTTTATCCTTTACTGAATCGATGGCACTTGGATTGCATTTTTTAAAAAAGATTTATTTGTTTATTTAAAAGGCAGAGTTACAGAGAGGCAGAGAGAGAGGGGGGTCTTCCATCTGCTGGTTCACTCCCAAAATGGGCACAATGGCTTCCAATCTGAAGCCAGGAGCTTCTTCCAGGTCTCCCATGCGTGTGCAGGAGCTTTCCCAGGTGCATTAGCAGGAAGCCTGATGGAAAGAGGAGCAGCCAGGACACCAACTAGCACCCATATGGGATGCCAGCACTACAGGCAGGGTGTTACCTGCTATGTCATAGTGCTGGCCACTGGACTGCATTTTTATCATCTATAAAATATTGATGAGCTTTTTAAAAATTTCATTTTATTTGTTTGAAAGGTAGAGAGGCAGAGAGATTCTCCAGGAGATGGAAACTCAATTCAGGCCTTCCATGTAGGTGTCAGAGACCCAATTATTGAGCCATCACCTCTGTCTCCCAGGGTGAGCACCGGCGGGAAGCTAGAACAAGTAGTCTTGAAGATCAAGAAAGATAACTTTTACAAAGTTGCTTGTAACTTATGTATTGAAAGGTATTGTTTTCTAGAAGCATATGCTGAAACTTCAACTCTACAAAGTAAACCAGAATCCATTTTGCCTGCTCATCACCCCAAACCCATCTCTAAGCAGTTGCATCAACCCCTTGCTCTGAGCTCCCCTCTGCTGAGACACTCTTCCCCTCTGGCCTTGTCTGCTCACATCCTAGTGCTCACACCCAGCGATGCCTACCACCTAACACTGTTCCTACTCTACATTCGACTTGCCTTGTAATCTGGGATGGGGATCCAGGAAACATGAAATGACCCAAGAGATTTACTGTGCAACAGGTGACCCAGGGGTTTCCTTTTTGTGAGGTCTGACTTGCCCTCCCCACCACCCAGAGAAGTAGCTAAGGATCCACTGTGTCTCAAAGCTCCCGCTTTCCGCAGAGCTGTCAGTGTCAGACTCACAGCCAGCCCTGACTTGTCCTCAGACACCATTCTACCTCACTTGTGTGGGAAACAGATGAGCCCCATCGATCAGTGGGGCCAGTGGGTAGATGGACCCTCCCCGCTTTGCTGGAAAAAGGACATGGGGCCTGGATACCAGACTTCAGAAAAGAAATCTATCTTTCCACTAAATGTTCAAAATACAAATTATAAGAATGTGGAATTTTAGTGGGTAGATTATACTCTGAATTGCAAGAACTTTTAAATTTGGGGGCTGGTGTTGTGTAGCAGGTTAAACTTCTGTCTGCAGGGGCCGGCACTGTGTAGTAGTGGTTAAGCCGCTGCCTGCAGTGCTGGCATTCCATATGGGTGCCGGTTCGAGACCAAGCTGCTCCATTTCCGATCCAGTTCTCTGCTGTGGCCTGGGAAAGCAGTAGAAGATGGCCCAAGTCCTTGGGCCCCTGCACTCACGTGGGAGACCTGGAGGAAGCTCCTGGCTCCCGGCTCCTGGTTTCGGATCAGCACCGCTCCAGCTGTTGTGGCCAGCAGCTAGAAGACCTCTTTCTCTCTCTCTCTCAATGCCTCTCCTTCCCGGTGTGTAACTCTGACTTTCAAATAAATAAACAAAACAAAACAAAACAACAACAACGAAATTTCTGTCTGTAGTGCTGGCATCCCATATGAGCACCAGTTCGAATCTCTGCTGCTCCACTTCCAAGCCACCACCTTGCCAGTGCACCTGGGAGGGCAGTAGAAGTCCTTGCTTCCATGTGGGAGACCTGGAGAAAGCTCCTGGTTCCCGACTTCGGCCTGGCCTAGCCCCAGCCATTGTGGCCATTTGAGGAGTAAAACCGCAGATGGAAGATCCCAGTCTCTCTCTCTCTCCTTTACTCTGTCTCTCCCTCTGTCTCTCTCTCTGTCTCTCTAACTTTTCCCTTCAAATAAATAAATAAATCTTTAAAAACAAATTCATGAAATTAAAAGATATGTATTTTTGGTGCAAAACACTGAAATTCATGAATAGTTTTTTTTAGATTTTATTTATTTATTTATTTATTTGAGACATATAATTACAGACACACAGAGAGAGAAACAGAAAGAAAGGACTTCCATCTGCTGGTTGACTCTCCAAATGGCTGCAATGGCTGGAGCTGAGCTGATCCGAAGCCAGGAGCCAGGAGCTTCTTCTGGATCTCCCAAGTGGGTGCAGGGGCCCAAGCACTTGGGCCATCTTCTACTGCTTTCCCAGGCCATAGCAGAGAGCTGGATCAGAAGAGGAACAGCCGGAACACAAACCAGCACCCATATGGAATGCCAATGCTGCAGGAGGAGGCTTAGCCTGCTGTACCATAGCACTGGCCCCATGAATAGTTTTTTTATAATAAATATTTTCCATAGTTTTTTTAAGACTCCTCATATACATGGATTCCACAAAATGTTTTGTTGCACCAAAACATCTGTGTCAATTACATTCCATACACTTTTTGAAGTCTTCTACTAATTCATCCTAAAATTTTTATTTATTTTTGGTTACTGTCTTTGGGATAGTTCTCTTTTTATGACTAGTGAAGGAAAATTGTGTCTTTTTATATTTATTGTATTTTGTGCAAAAACTCTGAAAATTAAATATTAGAATGCTCGAAATAAATTACTTTTGTCAGTGATTTACTAAATAGTATTGATTAGTATAAAAAATAATCTAGTGGGGCCAGCATTATAACATGACAGGCTGAGCTGCCGCCTGCAAGTCTGACATCCTATGTGAGCGCCAGTTCAAGTTCCAGCTGCTCCACTTCCAATCCAGCTCCCTGCTAATGTGCCTGGGAAAGCAGCAGCAGAAGACCCAAGTATTTGGGCCTCTGGCACCCATGTAGAAGACCCGAATGGAGCTCCAGGCTCCTGGCTTTGGCCTGACCCAGCCCCCGCCGTTGTGGCCATTTGTAGAGTATACTAGAGGATGGAAAATATCTGTCTATGTCTCTGCCTCTCTCATAACTCTGCTTTTCAAATAGAGAAATGATTTTTTTTAAAAAAAGGAAACAGTGGATTATTTTTATATAATAATGTTAGTGATAGTGTTAGTATGATCGATCTTTGGATAATTCATACTTTCCTACAAACTTCAGCATGGCTTTGAAATGTAATGATTTACTATTCAGGCTAAATTATTCATAAATAAAGTATGTATTCTGTATGGCTTATACAAACTACTCTCACTTCCTTTATTTCAAATCTTGTTGGAATGTGAATAAATAATGATTTTTTGTTGATCAACTCATTGTAATGAAAAGTTGTATTATTATCCTTCTTTTATAGACTGAATACCCAACTGATGATTGGGTAAAGAAAATGTGGTATATATGCACTATGGAATACTACTCAGCCATAAAAAAGAGTGAAATTCTGTCTTTTGCATAAGAATGAATACTATTGGAAACCATTATGCATAGTGAAATAAGTCAGTCTCAAAAAGACAAATATCATGTTTTTCTCTGATATGTAGGAATTAATACAGAATACAGAAAAATGTACAGGAATGAAACAAACATCCTGTGTTGTTGAATATTATGGTTGGTTGTGCATTAAGCCTGTGATTATAAAGTGGATTAAAATTATGTTTTTGCAAAAATTATAGAAAAAAAAATAAGGGAAGAAAGGAAAGGGATTGAAGGAGGCAAAGAGGAAGGGAAGTATGGTTATATTCTCAGAATTATACCTATGAAATCTGTTCTCTTCATATTAGTATAAAATTGTAAAAAATTAAGAACCTATACACTAAAATGCAATGTAACAAATAGGACATGGAATGATCTACCTAGGGATAGGTGATGATTTTTGAAGGCAAAGCAGACATATCAAGAAGCTAATTATGTGAAAGTTCTTAGTAAAGGCTGATAATTCTAAGTAAAATTTTAAGAGTTTTTAAAAAACTTTTTGATATATCTGATAGAGAATAAAATATTTTTGGAAATAGAGTTTCAAAATGCCTCTAATAAAACATCACAGATCAGCCGTCAACGCCATGCCTAACTCTCTGCTGCTTTCCAACACCTAAGATAGCACAGGCCACACGGTGACCACTGAGGAAGAGCCTGTTAAAGGAGCGAGTGGGTGCCTGCCTTCTGCAGGACTGGGATATTCGGAGCTGCCCGCTAAAACACGCACCATCAGGGTTTTGTTTCTCAGTCAGGGTTATCGTACTTTGAGCTATAACATTTATGAGGATAGAAATCTTTTGCAAACTGAGAATTGCATTGTTCTTTTTGTTATCATACATTTCTAAAAAGCCAAAGCTTTAAAGGAGAAGGAATCTAGTGTCTTTGAGAGTAATGTCTTCTCCCTAATGGTTGCGAATGCCTGTTACGAGGTGTTCCTGAAGCAGCCATCATCTCCAGCTCCCTTGCAGAAAGTGATGAAGGAGGCGCCTGCTCCACTTGCCTCACCCAGGCCCACCTCCCCGCCTCTGGAGGCGAGCGTGATTGGTTAAATTGCGGGTACGCTTGAATCCTTCGGGGAGGAAGAGAAGGACAAGTTGTATGGGCATGTGGCAGCTAGGGGTCAGCACCACCAGACCCATCACTTCCAGTACACAGCTGAACACTTAGAGCTCTTTAGGGCTTAATATGATGGCCATATTTCCTTTCCTTGACCTGGGGGTCAGCTCATACCCTGACCCTGTGCTTTGGCATATTTGTCCATTATCCTTCAATTTCACCCTTCCTAAGGCGATAAATTGCCTATGACAGTCCCAGTGTATACCTTCTTTCCAGACATAATTCTTAATAGTGCTTTTCTTCATGTTTAACTTCTCACTCACTTTAGATAACACAGTACGTGGATATTTTACTCCAGTGCACATCAAACATGGCTCTCGGGACTCATGAAATAAAATGAAGCAAAGGCTGTATGTGTGCATTAGTGTTAAGTTCATCTAGGATAATTATGAAGATATCTTAGGCATAAGGGCAATTACAGTTTCTTAGGGTGAAATATTATTATTAAAACAAGTTTTTTTTTAAAGATTTATTTATTTATCTGAAAGAGTTACACAGAGAGAGGAGAGGCAGAGAGGTCTTCCATCCGATTGTTCACTCCCCAATTGGCCACAACAGCCAAAGCTGCGCCGATCTGAAGCCAGGAGCCAGGAGCTTATTCCAGGTCTCCCACGCATGTGCAGGGGCCCAAGGATGCTCCACTGCCCTCCCAGGCCATAGCAGAGAGCTGGATCGGAAATGGAGCAGCTGGGACTGGAACCAGTGCCCATATGGGATGCCGGTGCTTCAGGCCAGGGCATTAACCCACTGCGCCACAGCGCCGGCCCCACACAACTGCATTTTCTTCTAAGCTCTGAGAGCACCCATTTCTAGCAAAACTATTTGGTGAAACAATCGCAATTACATTCTTACTAGGCATTTTGAAATTGAAATTCAGTACTGCACTTAAAAAAACATTCTGCAAAGGCCACGTTGCACACAATGGTGACAGATGTTGTAGCTTGCTTATTTTGAATGGATTTATGGAGAAGTGAGATAATGACTGTTCCAAATGTTTTTCCTATAACAACTCGATCACAATGTATACTGTCTAGATTCTATTTAATTCTCTATCTTTATATCATCTATCAACATTTAATCTAACTGCATTAAGCACAGCCAAACTTCTATAAAAATAAAAATCAGCAATGTTGGTTTTTAGCATCTCTGCTGCCTAAAATAAGCTTAAGTGAACAATATATCCTTTGTGGTCACATGAATGGGATGGGTCCATCAATAGAAATTGAAGGTCTGTGCAAGTCAGGCAGGCAGAAGGGGAGGGGGGACCTTGATGCTGTTATAATCAGCCTAGGAAGTCACTTCTTGCCTCTCCAATTGACCAGACTATCCTTAACCACATTACCAAACAACTCCAAAAGTGTACTTAATTTGATGCTTTTATTGAGTAAATTTAGATTCAGATTTTTTTTGAATCGCTGGCCTTCAGGCAAAGATTCTTCAAATACCAGCCTCCTGTTAGTGCACAACTTTTCATCGATGCGGATCACTTCTTCACACCTTTTCGTAGATTCTAGTGCTGACAATATTATTCATGGTACATTCCTAAAAGTGAAGCGGGATCTATCAGAGTCAGTAAATGACATGCTTTAATCTGCCCTGTCACTTTCTCCCTGGACCAAACCCTGAATTTACACTACAAGGTCAACTGAGGAGTTTTAAAGGCATGCAAACCAATAGGATCACACGAAAGTTTCAATTTAGAGAGAACTCACCACTACCATTTTTCCATCTACTATTTTTCTTTTGATTGTTGTTTCTTTGTCAAGCCATTTTTGGACCTGAATCATTGAGCCACTGTCCAATGTTACTGTGCTCTAGAGATACAGAAAGGAATTAGTTAGAAGCAGTAATTCATCACATTCTAGCCTACACAAGACTTTTTAATTTATGTTTTGAAATTTCTTTCTTCAAAATCTTCATCTCCATTCTTGGCTAACTTCAACTAGAATTCTCCAGAGACTACTCAATGAATGCTTCTTCCAGGCAAATGAAACCTCAGCTCTCTGTGCATAGCTGTACCATTCTATATGACCTTTTAGGAATGACAAAGGGTGCTATGGCTTGGGTGTTGACCATCACTGAAAAACCCATGGATTAAAGGCTTGGTCCTCAGGGTGGTGCTGTTGGGAGCTGGTGGAGCCTTTAAGAGGTGGGGCCTAAAGGGAAGTTCTTGGGTTAATGGAGGACTGCCCTTGGAAGGTAGTTGTATGACCTCTTGGGTTCTCAGGAGAGGACTGTTATAAGAGCCTGAGTTGGGCCTCATCTGCTCTCTTTCTGTGTGAGAGATGTGTCCTTCTGCTCCTCTGTGTGCTCCAGTTGTGATGTGCCACCAGCTACTGTTCTCATCAGAGACCAAACCAAAGGGCCCACCCAGTTTTGGCCTTGAACATCCACAACTGTGAGTTAACTAAACCTTTTCACTTTATGAAGTTAGTTGCCTCAGGTATTTTGCTGTGATGATGCAAAGCTAACACAATAGGAGATCAGAAAAAAAGTGAAAACAATTTGAGTTTTGATAGTGCTGTAGTTAACCATCAGAATAATTAGCTAAAGAACTGACTTTAGAGTTACGCAGATACTAACAAAACAGGCCCAAATTCACTAAATACACTTGTAAGTCAAATTACACAGAATAAATCATGCCTAACCACCTTGTATTTTCTTTCCTCCTTCCTCTCTCTCTCCCTCTCTCTTTTCCCTGCTTTTCTTTTGCAGATTGTTGGCCACCATGGTTTAGTTCTGACCTTCACTTTCCGGTTGTCTGCTGTAGTTTCATCAAATTCTTCCCCCAGCTTGAAGGAGATCTCGGTGTTCCTGAAAGGACTCTCTGTTCTGATGTTCACTGTATCCCCATTGACACTAATACTGACGCTTGGCTTCACTAACCCTGCCGCGTTCCGGGCGGCAGAACTCACTCCTGGAAGAGGGAGAAAGCAACACACCTTATTAAGACATTTGGGCAGCAGTATTTACATTTTTGGAAGAATTTTCCAAGAATGCATAGCGTTCCACATTGAAGTGCTGAGTATTATACAGTAGTTTCTTTAATACTTGTATATCTGGATTGAACCAGATCCTCTCGATCTTAAGGTGTATCTCGCCATTTTATGTGACATTGTGAAAAGCTAAATTTGGGGGCTGGCACTGTGGTGCAGCGGGTTAACGCCCTGGCCTGAAGCGCCGGCATCCCATATGGACGCCGGCTCTGGTCCCGGCTGCTCCTCTTCCGATCCAGCTCTCTGCTATGGCCTGGAAAGCAGTAGAAGATGGTCCAAGTCCTTGGGCCCCAGCACCCACGTGGGAGACCTGGAGGAAGCTCCTGGCTCCTGGCTTCGGATCGGCACAGCTCTGGCCACTGAGGCCAACTGGGGAGTGAACCAGCAGATGGAAGATCTCTCTCTCTGCCTCTCCTCTCTCTGCGTATAGTTCTGACTTTCAAATAAATAAATTAAATCTTAAAAAAAAATAAGAAAAGCTAAATTTGCTTTCTGAGACAATTGGACTTTCTCTAAAATGTTCATTTGTGTGGTATATTTTAGGTGACCAGAGCGTGTATTTGCTTCATGACATTTTCCAACAGTGCAAGAGGGGCTTATCTTAGAGCCTGGACCTGCTGTTCAAGTTGGGGATTTTCCAGTGTCAAACTTGGATACTGCAGTAGGTGTAAGAGTTCACTCCTTTTTTTTCTGTCTTGATGTTGAATTCTATTTCATGTTCAGACCATGGAACCAGTGCCAGGCGTCCTGGTACAGAGAAGCAGAGACAGACCCACGAAGCTCTAAGACAAGCGAGGTAGGTAAAACCTAGGCTCTAACTTTGCCACTTCCTAGCTTGTGCAGATACTTACTTTTTTATAGATTTATTTGCTTATTTGAAAGGCAGGGCAACAGAGAGATGGAAAGACAGAGAGAGAGATTTTCCGTCTGATGATTCACTCCTCAAATGGCTCCAGGGGCTCCATGTGGGTCTCCCACATGAGTGACAGGGGCTCAAGTACTTGAGTCATCTTCCACTGCTTTCTCAGGCACATTAGTAGGAAGCTAGATTGGAAACAGAGTACCATGGACTTGAACAAGCCCTCAATCTTGGGATGTCAGCTTGCAAGGAGAAGCTTAACCTGATGTACTATAAGGCTTGCCCTCTTCTCCAACCTCTAAAATATGGATAATTAATTAGTACTTACCTGACAGATGTGCTAGAAAATTAACTGAAAGGACTTAGCGTGGTACTGACACATAGTAAGTGCTCAGCTGTTACTCCTTGTATCCTGCCTAACCCTAGCTCTCAACGAACACAGAGCTGTTCTGACTCTCAGCCTCGAATTTCTTATATGCCCTCAAATTTTAGTCAAAAGCATGGAGTACATGCACCGTTGAAGTGACAGGGAAACCTGCTTACTCCCTGGGAAACTTAATCCTGTGTGAAAAAGAGACAAACGTCATATTTGGAAGCACACTGACTTCTTATCAAGAGGAATAGGCATTGTTGCTTCATTGGCTAGAATGAACAAACACAACTAATAGCTGTAAGCATCCATTGGTCATTTCAAGCAAGTTAAAAAAAAAAGTAGAGAAAATCCTTCATTTTACATACTTGTATAATTTATTATTCCATGAAAAATTTCTCTTAATTAAATAAGAAAAACATAAAATAATTGTTAATCTTCTAGCATTACTAAAAAAAGGTTTAGCTATCATATTCCCCATCATATTTGATGTTCACTATGCTACTTGAATTATAATTAAAAGATAAGTAGGGTTTATACTTCTTTGTCCAATGGTGAGATATTTAGTAAAAAAAAAGTTCAATTTCTCCCATCAAAATTCAGAATTCCTCAATTAGTGTTTTCAAATGTTTCCCATATGTATAAAAACTCTAAATGCTAACCAATGAGAAATTTGGTTTGTTGTTACTGCTCTTTTAAAGTTATAACTTAAAGCAAACCTTGAAACAAATGTAATTGACAAATTTACTTATACATGGTGATTACTGTATATACATTTGATTTTGGAAAAAGCTATTTAATTAAATGACAAACCAAACAGAAACTCTACATAGATGTTAGGATGAAGTGTTTTCAAGAAAGAATAAATGGGTTCCAGTTAAATCTAGAGAGAGATATTAGTAAGCCTAGTATTTTAAAAGGAGACAATTGGGACCAGTGTTGTGGCTTAGTGGGTTAAGTTGCCACCTGCAATGTAGGCATCCTATATGGGCCCTGGTTCGAGTCCCAACTGTTTCACTTCTGATCTAGCCCCCTGCTAATGTGCTTGGGAATGCAGTGGAGGACAGCCCAAGTGCTTGGGCCCCTGTACCCATGTGGAAGACCTGGAAGAAGCTCCTGGCCCGTGGCTCTGGCCTGGCCCAGCCCCAGTCGCTGCGGCCATTTGGGGAGTGACCCAGTGGATGGAAGATCTCTCTCTGTCTCTGTGTCTGTAACTCTGTCTTCCAATTAAATAAAATAAATATTTAAAAAAAAACAAGCAATTATTACTATTAATAGGGAAAATGAAAAGTAGATACATAAACTATGTTCATCTCAAGTGAATTTGCCTGAGTTTTAGAAAAGAAAATTGTAAGAAAAGTCATCATAAAATGCCAACCCAGTCACATCACCAAATGCTTTCCCAAATCTTACAGTAGTATTTCTCACCCAGTTCTTTCATGTAATCCTCAAAGTTTTCACTGGAGACCAGCTTCCAGGTTCCCAAGAAAGGCTCAACCATCATGGAAATCTTGTTGAGAAAAGACACTCCCAACTGAAAGCCAAAGAAATGTGGGCAGTACAGTGTTCCCAGGACCTTAATTTAAAGAGCATCATTGTCACATGACCTCTCGGAAATGGCCAATGGGGCAGCAGCAGGACTGAAGATTTCAGGCACCAGCATTTGACGCATTTTATTTATCTCCAAATGAAGAGACTGAAAAATTAATATGTAAAGTTGAATTCAGGTCAACAATGATAGCTTCTGGCAAAGAGATTTATATCCAAGAGTCACCTAATGAACATTACTTGTGGAATGGAGACAATTTTCAATTAGAGATTAGCCTTTAAGAATAATGAATGCTATCACTTCTCAGCCTTTGGGCTAAGATCAAGTGAAGAATAATGAATGTAATGAATGCTGAGTCATCCATGAAGGAGTATCGCAACAAATGTCTGGTGAATACCTACAGGGGTATTTTCTCACCCAAGACAGGGACATCCTTGATTGGTCCACCTCAGTTATCTTTTTTTTTGTTGTTTTCTTGGATAAGGCACAGTGCCAGAAAATACTCTTCATTAAAGTAATGTCTTCCCTTCCCTTCCTTCCAGGGTTGATGAGTTGATATCAAAGTTAATGTAACTGAAATGCCTACATTTGCTTCAAGTAAAGTGTAGGGTATTATTAATATTATCATTGTTGTTAATGAAGTGTAATTGAGGACTAGGAAGAAAAGTTACAATTATCATTGAAGGGTGGCTTGTGATTTAAGCCTTAGAAGGAGGTGGAGCCTGGAAACTTTATTTTAACAGGCCTGCAAAGTGATAATTGATAGTAAAAGGAACAATTTGAAATTCTGAGGGTCAATTTTGAGAAGTTTTAGGGAGGAAAATTGTGCTTGATATCTTCATTCTTTTTTTTTTTTCTTTGACAGGTAGAGTTATAGACAGTGAGAGAGAGAGAGACAGAGGAAAAAGGTCTTCCTTCCAGTTGGTTCACTCCCCAAATGGCCACCATGGCTGGCGCTGCACCCATCCAAAGCCAGGAGCCAGGTGCCTCTTCCTGGTCTCCCATGTAAGTGCAGGGGTCCAAGCACTTGGGCCATCCTCCACTGCCCTCCTGGGCCACAGCAGAGAACTGGCCTGGAAGAGGAGCTACTGGGACTAGAACCCGGCACCCATATGGGATGCTGGCGCCACAGGCAGAGGATTAACCAAGTGAGCCAGGGTGCCGGCCCGACATCTCCATTCTAAAAGAAAGATAGAGATAGAAAATAATTTAAATTCTGTATGCAATTAAATTTGACACCATCTTCTGCAACCCACGTAAGGGAAGCGGTCTCTGTAGGTTCTGGATCCTTAAGAAGAATTAAATTTGTGAACTGGGGTTCACATCACAGTTTTGAACTCCAGCTGTTTTTGGAAGAAGCTGGAAATTTAAAGTGTCAGCCACCATAAGATTATTCATACTTTAATCTGTTTTGTATAAAATATTCCTTCAATTCAGAGAAATATTTAGTCAATCCATCTCTTTATAGACAGAACAAGTAGCAGTTAATGTTTTGACACTACACAGAAATAACTTAAATGAGGTAAATAATTTCTTTGATGAAAACAAAACAAACACATTTGTAATTGCCTATCTTTATAGGTATAACAATTATTGAAATATCTTGAGAGCAAAACAGAGGAGGCAAAAACCCGAGAGTTGATTTCAGGAATCTGAGACCCATGCTCAAAGTGTGTTAGCAGTTCAAGATACACTTAAAGGTGGTGCTCAAACAGGAAGTAACTAGAACTTGCTTTACTGGTTCTAGATATACACATGCTTGCTCTGCTCAAAAGGTAAGAGCCTACAAGGCTAAGTATGTTGGCGTTTGTGACAAAGGTCTCCCATTTACTTAACCACCAATCTTGTGCTGATTCTCTTGCCATTGATTTGATACATATTCATACCATGGTCTGTTTTAGAATTCAGTTGGGCCATGAGACAAGGAGGGAAGTCAAATTTCTAGCTTCCATAAAATTCCCCATCTCCAGAAGAGAGCCAGCAGGAGAAACAGCCTCTTTTGTTCCTCTGCAGAATTTATCAGCTTATACGATAACTATAACTGCTGTAACCATTGTTTACCAACTCGAAGATGGAGTTAAGACTGATGATGGCAGTGCAGAAAGGTGCAAGGAATGGAAGTCCACTTTATTTCTAGAGTTTATATTCTGTAAATTCATAGATCCCATTATTACTTAAACAATTTTGTATCTGAGTTTTCTTTACTTGCAGGTGAAGCCTTCAAAATTCAAATGCCGAAGTGAGCATTTGGTACAGCGGCTGAGATGCCAGTTGGGATGCTGACGTCTCATATCGGAGGGCCTGGGTTCAAGTCCTGGCTCCATTCCCCACTCCAGCTTCCTGCTAAGGCGGACACTGAGCAGTAGCAGTAACGTCTCATGTAGCTCGGTCCCTGCCGCCTACATGGAAGACCTGGATTTTTTCCCCCAGTTCCCAGGCATTTCAGAAGCAAGCTAGCAAATTCTGTCTGTCTATCTCTCCCTCTGGTTTTCTGCCTCTCAAATAAAATAAAATAAAATAAAATGAAATAATAAAATAAAATATTGATACACCTTATAAATAACTTCCCCAAATGTCTAATTTGAATCTTTACAGCAAACAATGGCATGTTATTTGCCACCGTTCTTGCACACAACATCTACCTATTTTCCCCAATCAACCCTAACATGTCCTCTCTGTGATACGGGCTCAGAGTAGGGATCTCTATTATACGACACAATTTTTTTTAACAGAGGTGCATTACAGAGCTTATCTCATGGTATTGTAACTACTTATCTTCCATATTTCTCCTGAGCTACTCTATGAGTACATCAAGAAAGGAAAATATTTCTCACTCACCACTGCATCTCTAAGATAGTGCCTGGCATATTGTGAATATTTGGTAAATGTTGTATAGATGAGTGACAAAAGAAATCAATAGCATTTATTTCTTTGTAACTGGTAGTTCTCATTTGTAGTTTTTATCTAATAGTGACTAAAGGCAGAGTTGTAATAGCTTATCTGCCCTTGAACTGTTCCTATGACACACCTTTCATTCTGGTCCTTATCAGATGGTAGAGAGATTCTCACCCTCCCTTCATCTTTCTCAGTATCTCACAATTACTATACAAATCTTCTTTCTTAACCAAGAAAATCCTCTGCTATTCCCACTGCTATAGCTCTGAGCCTTAGAAACCTTTTTAAATTATAAAACAGCAAAAACCATTTCCTCAAATTAAAAAAAGTAAAAATTACAATGTTCCTAAATTTTAACTATAACGTAGTCTTTTGTTATAGAATAATTACATGTATTATTTTCATAACAGGTCCAATGCTTATTTCTTTATTTTCATTTTTATATGCTTCTCCAACATCTTGTTTTCTATATTAACTTCTTTTTTTAAAATATTATTTATTTATTTGAAAGCCAGAGTTACACAGAGAAAGGAGAGGCAGAGAGAGAGGTCTTCCATCTGCTGGTTCACTCCCCAGATGGCTGTAACGGCCGGAGCTGCGCCTATCTGAAGCCAGGAGCCAGGAGCTTCTTCCGGGTCTCCCACATGGGTGCAGGGACCCAAGGACTTGGGCCATCTTATACTGCTATCCCAGGCCACAACTGAGAGCTGGATCGGAAGAGGAGCATCAGGGACTAGAACCGGCACTCATATGGGATGCCGGCGCTTCAGGCCAGGGCGTTAACCCACTGCGCCACAGCACTGGCCCCTCTATATTAACTTCTTTCTTGTGACTTTTATCTATCAGATAATTTTTAATAATTTTTAATGTGAGATGCTACCTTCTCTCCTGATGACTGATATTTGTAAAGTTAAATATGTACCCAAAGCTATATAAATATTAAGAGTTATGTCTAGCAATTTATTGCTGGGCATAGACTACTTTGGAGTCACACTAGATTTTGTAAAGCATCTTGACTCTTTATTTCCACATGCTGTGATATCTCATTCATATGACATTCCTTCCTATATTAATTATTCAATTTTAATTGTCTATTTTTATAGGTGCTGTACTTAATATTTGTAAATTTTCAAAGTGTATATTTAATGTAGGTGACTGAAAATGATTGTTATACATTTTTCTTTTTAAGATGATTTTATCTTATTCAATACAGAAAATAATTAATTTGAATTTTGATTTGGTTAATAAATGGCCTGAACAGGAGATTTGGAGTTGAAATAATCAGGCCTCCATTTGCTAATATTTCTACACTGGAGAAATTAGTTTTAATTTCATGAGATTATTTGATAAGTATAAATGTTATATTTTTTGATTTTTATTTTTAATTTATTTATTTTTCCCCAAAGATATCTTTTGTTTAAGGAATACAAGCTTCATGCATTTCATAAGTGCGCTTTAGGAATATAGTGATTCTTCCCCATACACTTAATCTAGAGTCATAGTATAATGAGAAAAAAACACCACAGCAAGAAAAAAAAAAAAAAAAAAGAAACCAAAGAATATGTCCACAATGCCAAGCAACAAACGCAGAAACCAAGGAAACAAGAACAAAGAAGACATTATGATGCTCCCAAATGAACATGACACTCCAAGTCAAGATTATGAAGATGATGAGATAGAAGAAATGCAAGATACGGATTTCAAAAAATTTATGATAAGAACATTTAGAAGCTCTCAAAAACAAATTCTTGAACTACAGAAATCCTTACTGGACAGGAAAGAAAATCTCTCTCATGAAAAAGAAATCTTAAGGAGGAATCAAAATGAAATGAGGAATCTAGTAGAACATGAAATTGTGATATTGAAGAGAAATCAAAATGAAATGAAGAATTCAATAGATCAAATGACAAATACATTAGAGAGCCTTAAAAACAGAGTCAGTGAAGCAGAAGAGAGAATATCGGACTTAGAAGACAGAGAAACGGAAATTATACAGTCAAACCAAAGAAAAGAAGAGGAAATTAGAAATCTGAAAAATATGGTTGCGAATCCACAAGATACTATTAAAAAAAACAAAATTTGGGTTCTAGGAGTTCCTGAAGGCATGGAGAGAGAGAAAGGATTAGAAGGCCTTTTTAGTGAGATACTAGCAGATAATTTCCTGGGTTTGGAGAAGGACAGAGACATCCTAGTACAGGAAGATCATAGAACCCCTAATAAACATGACCAAAAGAGATCCTCACCACGACACGTTGTAATCAAACTCACCACAGTGAAACATAAAGAAAAGATTCTAAAATGTGCAAGAGAGAAACGTCAGATTACTCTCAGAGGATCTCCAATTAGACTCACAGCTGACTTCTCATCAGAAACCCTGCAGGCTAGGAGGGAATGGTGAGATATAGCCCAGGTACTAAGAGAAAAAAACTGCCAGCCCAGAATATTATATCCTGCAAAGCTCTCATTTGTGAATGAAGGTGAAATAAAGACCTTTCATAGCAAACAGAAATTAAAAGAATTTGTCGCCACTCGTCCAGCCCTGCAAAAGATGCTTAAAGATGTGTTACACACAGAAACACGGTCATCAATATGAAAGAAGGTAAAGGAAGAAAACCTCCCAGTAAAAAATCACAGGAAGTTCAAAGCATATATTAACATTCTATGTGACTATTGATAAGTAGTAACTTTGCCCTGCCATTTTCCCAAAGATATTTTCTAATACATGCTTTGAACTTCCTGTGATCTTTTGCTGTGAGGTTTCCTTCCTTTACCTTCTTTCATATTGATGACCGTGTTTCTGTGTGTAACACATCTTTAAGCATCTTTTGCAGGGCTGGACGAGTGGTGACAAATTCTGTGTAGGTTCCCCAAACCTCTAGTGAGCCTGAAGTGAGAAGCCTACGCTCTGTTTTTGTGAATAAAATAAATTCTTATTATCAGAAACCTAGTCTACTTCTTTTAACTTCCCCATGACATTGTATTACACATAGGAAAGGTGCTCAGAAAACTATTATCTTGAGACTTATTCTTTTAACTTTTTATTTATTTGAAAGGTAGAGCAACAGAGAAAGAAGAAGGGGAGAGAGGAAGAGAGAGAGAGAGAGAGAGAAAGAGAGAGAGAGAGAGAGTCTTCCATTTTCAGGTTCACTCCTCAAGTGCTTGCAATAACCAGGACTGGGCCAGGCAAAAGTCTGGAACCAGGAACTTCATCTAGCTCTCCCATGTCTCCCACTGAAACCATCCTCCACTATCTCCCAGGATGCATTAGCAGACAGGACCTGAACTACTCAGTACTCTAATCTGCCAGGTGTTGGCTTAATCCACTGCAACACAATGCTACCCCAGAACTGATTTTTAAAAAAAAGCATTGCAAAAAGAATTATATCAAAGGCAACACATGTTATATCAGATCTTGTCTTACTATAAAATGTAAGCATGTGATTTAAAATTTCAGTTCCCATAATCTTCATAGCTTCCACAAGAGGTCCAAGAAATAGGCACACACACACGCACATGCACTCACACATACTTCCTGGGAAAATTCATTCTCATTTCTGTGTGTCTTATATATTGCAATTCTATGGAGATTTTATATGAATAAAAGTCCCACAGGTAGGAAAAATAAGTTTGTAAACAACTCCAATGACATTTAAATCTTTATTCATGAACAACACAGTCATCATTTTTCTGGAATGAATTCTGCAGAAATTCCTCAGCTAGCCTGGTGCCATCATTTGGATATTGTTTGTTTCCCACAAAGGTTTGTGTATGGGAAGCTTGGTCCTGAGTATGGCAGTGTTAGGATGGTGGAAGCTTTAAGAGGTAGAACCTAGGAAGATGATGAGATCATCAAAGGTGCTTCCCTCAGAAGGCATTAGGGGACTCTAGTTAGTGCTCATGAGAGTGGCTTGTTGTAAAAGATGAAGACTGACCCCGTGCTACAATCTGGCTTCCTGTCTCATCATGGGCTCGTTTCCTCTCACATGCACTTCTACATGATAAATACACAGTGAGATCCTCACTAGGGGCCAACTGAATGGGGTCTCCCAATATTGGACTTCCTGCCTCCAAAACTGTGAGCTAAATAAATCTGTGGTGCTTTATTATAGTAATGGAAGACTAAGACACTTGGTTTGCCAATAAACTTTCAGACTACAAATTGTAGACTGGAGATTTCTATAACATGTATTGTATGTACTGCTATCTTCCAATGTTCTAGGACAGGGTGGATATGAAATGTGGGCCAGCTGGATGTGGACAATTCGACTATGCTCATAATTACCCTAAGGTCTCTTAGAGATAGTTAATTGCAGATACATTAAAGAAGGATCTAATATTCAATCATGTTACATACTTCTTATCTCCTACCTAGGGAATTTCATGGATAGTAATTTTTTTACTTTGCATTATTATGAAAAATCTTATTCTTATGTGAGAAACAAAGCAATGATGGGATTTTTCTATTTCCTTCACCCAGTCATTGTAGGTACAAAATTATCCAGTAAAATGAATTATTACATCACCTTCTAAATCTAAAAATTTTTATTTAATCAACACAACCACAGGCAAAAAAATCAGCTTGGGGGAAAATTAGTTCCTTGCTAATTAGTGAAAAATAACAATATCTGTTTAAACAATACTTCCAACAGAATGTCGTAGAATTCAATGCAAACTTCAGTCCAGCTCAGTGTCCCCGGGCTTATGCTCTTTCATAAATTCTGGTGGAAGTGACGCCTTTCATGATGCATTCCTAGACACACACAAAAATTACTGGTCAATCACCATGAGTTTAATAATGTTGGAAAGGAGCAATGTTCATTCAAGGACATAGGTAGATGGGAGAAGAACACAGATGGACAGATAGACAGAAAGATAGATAGATTCTCTTTTAAAATGTTTGGGAGGTACAAAGACCAGGAAGATACAATTTTCCCCTCAAGGAGTCATACAGTCTGAATGGTGAGTGAGGAACATAAGCAGACATATGCACTGTGGTAAGTGCACTACGGAAGACAAGTTCAGGGTTCCTGGGAAGGAGCCAGGAATGACCCCTGGGAGACAGCATTCCTGGGCTGAGTTTGACACCATGGAAGGTGCAATTGCCAGACTGGAACCATAACCCCAATAAAATCACCCTCTTGTGTTGTACAAGCAGGCCTTCTTAAATGGAATACTAATTACGATGATGGCCTAACAGGAAGATTTGGGATTAAGTAGTTAGGAGATGCTCACCACCACCAGTTTATCGCCCTCCCGTTTTCTCTTTATGGTGGTTGATTTTCCATCCCACTTCTGCACCTGGACCAGGGCACCACCATCTAGGGTTATGATGCTCTGTAAACAAAATACAAACTGGTTACAATGTGCTTGTGAAGGCAGAAGACAAAATATAAAATATGGCACCATGGGTTAAAGGAAGATTTTTATTTCATTAATAGTTCTAAATGAGAAGACTATATTGCAACAAGAAAAAAATGTCTCTGAAAAACCAGCATATGATTTACATATACATTATTACTAGTTTTATGAACACAACTGCAAAGGAATACAGGTAATAAATTTACACTGAAATGGTAAAATTATTGGTGATTGAGACAAACATTCTCTCATTATTTTTAATTAGCATGCTCTATTAACTGACATAAATTATGGTAAGCTTTTTTTAAAATGTAAGGGCAACTGCATAAAAAGGGGAAACATTCATGAATTATATCTCAAATGCAATAGTGTTTAGATGTAGTAGTTCAGGGATCTTTGGCCTAACATTTTCCCTCCCGTTATTATAAAATGGTTTCTTGCAGGAGCAGCAGTTTAGACATCAAGCAATTCCTTATTCCTCACCTTGACTTTCCTGTCATCTGCGGTGACTTCATCAAATTCCTGGCCCAGTTTGAAGGAAATCTCAGTGTTTTTAAAGGTGCTCTCTGATTTAATGGTGATCACATCCCCATTCACACTGATGATCATGTTGGGTTTGGCCATGCCAGCCACTTTCCTGGTGGCGAAGCCCACTCCTACAGGAAGGAAAAAAATGACATCAGGGTCACATTTCTCTGCCTCTTCATCTAAGTCAAAGAACTGTAGTGTGCCTTTGCGCATGTGTGCGCGCGTGTGTGTGCATGCGTGTACGTGTGTGTGTGTGTGCTCGTGTGTGTGTGTGTGTAAAAGAGGAAAAAGACACAGGTGAGTTTCTTAAAGGCCTCATTAAAACAGCTTCTGGAGGTGAAAACATCGAGCTAATACTTAAAAAAAAAACCCTCTGAGCCACAATAGATGTGTATCTCTGCTTTAAACTTCCCTTTCTCTGTTCCGCATACAACTCCTCAGGAGGCCTAGTGTTAGTTTTCAGCAAGAATATGCACACAGATGAAATCTCCAGGCCTATATGTATTTTTAAAAGGTGAGTGCTATCGTTTTTTTTTTTAATTCATGAAAGTTTGAGGCAATTTGACCATTCCTTCTTACATCTAAAAATTTTATATAAAAGTTCACAAAGAATTTTTAACAAAACATTTGGGCTAATACAGAGTTGTTCAGCTAAAAGATAACCTGTCTTGAGTGTACAAAAACCGCGTTTCATGGCATTGCTGCCAAGGATAGCTTGCTGGGCTTCTTTCTAAATTGCTCCACTATGGAATGAAGGTTTTGGTTAATCTTTCTGAAAGCAAAATATTTCCTATAGTAACACCATTTTAGGTTGGTGATATCATTCCCAGTAACTTATAGGAACTATTAAAGCAAGACCAGGCATCATGAAAACTTCAAAATTTAAGAAATCACTATTTTCCAGCCCTTGTCTCACTGTTGAGGAACAGTTATTTTTTCTCCATACTATCTGTTGAACTCTTTACTTAGTACAGGGTTAATCTTATGTATATAAAGTTAATTGAAAATAGATCTTTGTAAAACAATAAGAATGGGAGTAGGAGAGGGAGGATGAAGAAAGGTGGGAGTGAGGACAGGAGGGAAGGTTGGGTGGGAAGAATCACTATGTTCCTAAGTTTGCATGAAGTTTGTATACTTTAAATAAAAGATTTCTTGATAATAAATAAATAACTATGAAAGTTAAAAAAGATAAATTATTGTTTACTTAACAGTAGTTTAGAAACTGATTATTTGATTTCTAATCACCCAAACTGCCAATTCCTCTTTAAAAAAAAAGGAATATATTTTCCTGTGCAAGGTATGAGATGAACAATTTACAACCTGATATAAACAATGGGAACTTGCTGACCTTGCATGTTACGCAGAATTTATAATTGTAGATGTGTTGACTTTCTGACACGTGCACATAAATCCAAGCCATATTTTTGACTAAAGGTAACGAACAATTAGAAACAGGGACAAAATGGAGAGAAATATGGTGCAAAATAAGTAATACTGACGCTCCCATTTAACAAGCTGGAGAGTGACCCAGGTGGGAAGACAGGTTGCTTCAACAAGTCCCAGCTCTGATACAAAACACATTAAAGACTGAATACAACACCCAGTGTGACACTCGAATGGCTGACCTTAGGAAAAACCACATTCTCTCCTTGCTGACTGATGCAGGCAATGCCCACTCTCTCAGCCTCAGCTGGAGCAGCTAATTTCATTCTGGAGGTATCTTATTATCTTTAACTATCATCAATCCTTTACTATTTAAAAACGTACTGTTATAAAAATTTAAATGTAACTATCAAAAGTGTAGACTATTTCTAAAAGTAACTACATGTTCCCAAATCCTTACTTTTCCATATTATGCATATTAATTAGTTTATTGAATCACAGATAACTAGCATTCTAGAAAGTTAGGTCTTTTTTACACTGAATTCCCTGATGTCTCTCTCATCTGTAAACAGGAAAAATGCTAGCTTATATATAACGTCGGGGATGGTTTAAGTCTTTTGAGTTATAGGGATTAAATCTTAACCCCTACTAGAGATATTATTAAAATTCCCTCCTTGTTTGCTAACCCTGAATTTGACTGTATCATGCACAAGGGTAGGGGAAGAATGGTTTTTAAAGCAGAAGCTGCCTGAGTAAGAAATTGTCTCCCTAGTTTACCTCCATTTCTTCACCTCCTGAATGGATAGATGTGCAATGAAATGCTGGCAAGGTTAGCAGTCTGAAAACTTGAAGGGTTCTATTATCAAAGAGGAAGACTGTTGCATATGTAATATTCTCCTTTTGAATTACCAATAATCCAATGGCATCCCATACCATTTGTATGCAAAGTTTTAAAGCCCTATGAGAAACACCTTGCTAACCATAAAACAATCATACATCTTAATACATTGACATTGAGACAATAATTTGCTAATGCACATTTACTAAAAAAAATGCAAAGAAGGGAAATGTGCCTTCATTGTCAAATGGAAATTATTATATGCTAGGAAAGAAATATGTTTTTCTTTCCAAGTTATGGCAAATTCTATATGCAAAAGTGGATTTAAAAGCAGGCAAAGAGTCAACTAAGCTAAAGATACCCACATTGTGAAATTAGAGTCAAATCTTTGCATTTCTGTAGATCATAAGAATTTCATTTATACCCATTTTTTTCCCATAGAGTTTCAGCTTCAGGAAGCATTAGCTGTAGCTTTTGTTCAACACATCTCCAGAGAAAGATTCTCACCTGTTTCTTACGTAACTTCTGTATAGAAAACAGCATCTCTGGCCAATGCTTCCAGAGTGAAAAACACGATAAACCACTTCCCCCCAGAGAAAATGTTATCAATCCAGTCATCCCTCAACGCATTCTCTTACCCACTTCTTTCATGTAATCGTCAAAGTTCTCACTGGAGACAAGTTTCCAGGTACCTACAAAAGCATCACACATTTTGAGCTTTCTAGGTTTATTCCTCCAGGTGAGAGAGAAGTGTAGCTTTCAGCAAGGTGCTGTGGCCCTCCAATGTTCAGACAACTTCTTTTTAAAGATGTTCAGAACATGTGATCTCTTGAACAACCAATTGGGAATGATATCAGGTCATTTCCTCCTTTACCAGCCTCTGCATTTTTTCCTCTGAGTCATGTTTTTAATAGAAATTTCTCAACTTTGGTTCTCCCTGGCAAGTGGTCATTGGACTTAGAGTACAAATTATTTTTAACCATGAGCAGAACATTTTACATGCTGTTTTGACTATTTAATGCTTAATGCACTGAACTTCCCCCTATTATTTCCATACATATTTACCCCCGGGCAGAGGGGAACAATTACCTAGGGATGAACTTTGACATCCTTTTCTTGTTTTTTTTTTTTTTTTGTTAATATTGCTATTATGAGTTTCTTTCAAATTAAGGAATCTAAGAATTATGTTGGAGGTTCTTAAAACATTGCAAAGCCTCTTTGGGACAGGACTATCTCAGGAATTACTTAATAATTAGAGCAAAGTAAATACTGGCATTTTAAACTACCCCAGGCCTCTAATTTCAAACCTTTCTATGAATAAATGAGTATATCAGTTCATTCACTGGGAACCTGGACTCTAGATTTATTTAAATGATAATTTAACCTCACTCTATCTATCCCTTAAATGACGATGTGGTGTTGATTTCCAAAGATATCTTAAAACATAGGCTCCAATCCAAAATGCAGTCCTCACAATGAGAAAATTCATTCAGTTCTTGAACTGTATTATGAGCTCTGCATTAATCTACATCTCAACATTGTTGCTTTACTTGAAAGATCAGAAATGGGTCAGTTACGAGCTATCGATACCTTATCCTTCTTTGCATATCTCACTTGTGGGATTACTTTTCTATAGTAATCATGGTTTTCAGTGTCCTCATCCTCTCATACCAGATGATGGAAGATATTCATATGTGCAAAAAACTTGCATGAACATACCTAGGCATTAGGGAAAAAAGAAACTAAAAAGTTGCAGAGGGATGAATCACTGTAAATCCTGTTGAACAATATCTGCTGTTCCAACAGTCTCTCATTTGGGCAGGATAGCTTGTAAGCAATGAGACTTTCTGTACAAATGTAAGGGGCTAGAAAAGTAAAGTTAGTTTATAATACTGTTTTAATTGTTACATTTTTTCATGGCACAGTAACAATGTTCTTCCATTATGAACTATTGCATGGACACACAGACTGTGGTAAAGCTCTAGCCAGAGTAGGATAGCCATCAAGGACTCATCTGGTTCCTACTGAATAAGAACTTTCAGATGGAAAGGAAAGGAAAATAAGCAATCTCAATATCAGGATTATTTTGAGAATGTTTCAAATTAATAATGTTTTTCTTAAAAATATATACTGAGTCCTTACTTGTTTTCACTTCACCCCAGTTACAATAGCTATTATACAAAAATCAAAAAATAATAAATACTGGTGAGGATGTGGAGAAAAACATATCCTACTACCCTTTTGGTGGGAATTTAAATTAGTATAACCATTATAAAAGACAGTATGAAGATTCCTTAGAAATATGAAAATATATCTACCATATGACCCAGCCGTTCTACTCCTGGGGATATACCCAAAGGAAATGAAATCAGCATATGAAAGAGTTGTCTGAACCCCCAGGCTGATAGCAGCTCAATCATGATAGCTAAGACATGGAATCAATGCAGATGTCTATCACCTGATGACTGGATAATGAAAATGTGGTATATATACTTAATTTTATTTAAAATGTAAGAAATGATCCTCAATTTGTTTATTGGAAAACTTATAAATGTATTTGGAACAACTTGGATAGATCAATCTACTTTGTCACCTTAAATTTTATGAAATGTAGGTGTTGGTCAACCATTTCAAAAGAAAATTTAGGGCCGGCGCTGCGGCTCACTAGGCTAATCCTCCACCTAGCGGCGCCGGCACACCGGGTTCTAGTCCCGGTCGGGGCGCCGTATTCTGTCCCGGTTGCCCCTCTTCCAAGCCAGCCCTCTGCTGTGGCCAGGGAGTGCAGTGGAGGATGGCCCAGGTGCTTGGGCCCTGCACCCCATGGGAGACCAGGAAAAGCACCTGGCTCCTGGCTCCTGCCATCGGATCAGCGCGGTGCGCCGGCCGCAGCGCGCCGGCCGTGGCGGCCATTGGAGGGTGAACCAACGGCAAAGGAAGACCTTTCTCTCTGTCTCTCTCTCTCTCACTGTCCACTCTGCCTGTCAAAAATAAAAAAAAAAAGAAAAAAAAAAGAAAATTTAAAGTCTGAATTAAAATGTACTCTTAATATAACTTATACAATAGATGTTGAAGACAATATTTAAGTAAGTAAAATATATCATTAACATTTCTTAGATTTTTTATGTTGAAATGACAACATCTTAGATATATTGGGATAAGAAAAAATATATTCCTAAAATTTTTAGCATATTTCTTTTTCCCTTTCTTAATATAAATAACAGAAATTTTAGATTGCATATGTTGTTCACATTATATTTATGTTAAGCAGTGCTATTTTAGGGTATTGTAGTAATGCCAAGGTTCACTGCTTTATTCAACATGTAAGTTAGGCACTGTGCTAACTACCGGGGACTCAACAGGGAGTAAACCATACCAGGCACTTGGCTTGCTCTCATGGAACTTTTACTCTGGTATTAGAGAAGATAATGTACCAGAAGACGTGTAAACACCGTAGTCCCCCCCTTATCTGTAGTTTTCTGCTGTTTCAGAAACTCAATCAACTATGGTTCAAAAATAGCACATGGAAAATTCCAGAAATCAACAGTGCATAAATTTTCAAACTTTTTTAAAGATTTATTTTTTCTTTATTTGAAAGAGTTAGGGAGAGAAAGAGAGAGAGAGAGAGAGAGAGAGAGATCCTTCCGTTCTCTGGTTCAGTCCCCAAATGGCTGCAATGACCGGAGCTGAGCAGATCTGAGGCCAGGAGCCAGGAGCTTCTTCTGGGTCTCCCACATGGGTGAAGGGGCTCACCCACTTGGACCATCTTCCACTGTTTTCTCAGTCAAATTAGCAGGGAGCTGGATCAGAAGTGGAGCAGCCAGGACTTGAACCAGCGCCCATATGGGATGTCAGCTCTGCAAACCTGGGCTTTAACCTGCTGTGCTACAGCACTGCTTCCTTAAATAACTTTTATTACATGTATTGTCATATTTATTCTATTCTATTATTGGTTGTTTTTACTCTGTGCCTAATTTATTAATTAAACGTTTCTTAGCTTGTGGTTGTAGGAAAACACAGTGTCTATAGGGTTTGGTACCATCTGCAGTTTCAGGCACCCACTGGGGGTCTTAAAACATATTCCCCTTGAATAAAGGGGACTACAGTGCACCAACTGCAGGTAGTGCTGTGTTTCAGAGCAGCCATAATGACTGTTGTGAGGGCTGCCACTAGATGAGGAAGGTTCAGCAAAGGGAGTGAACAACTGACCTGCCACCTGCATGATGAGAAGAAGTTAGCTGCAGAAAGAACAGTGAAAAAAGTGTTTCAGGAGCAAGGGCAGCAGGAGTTGCTGACTCCATTCCTTTTCAGGACAGTTTCAGCCAGACATGGACAACAACAATCCCTACAAACCATGGCACACAGACAGATAGATGTTCTTCTTGAGCAAAGTTCAAGACCCGTTAAAGCAGAGACTTGTCCTGATTTATTTCGTTGATATTCCAAGTAGTTAAGCATTCAACAAAATGAATGAAAAAAATCCCAGATGGGTAGGCTAGTAAGAGTTCACCATCATGCTGGCACAGAATCTTCAAAGATATTTCTGTGGATCAGTAGTGTCATCTTCCAATGTCAGTATATCTAGAGCCTGATCATCATTAAAGTAAAGACTTAGTAGGGAGGCATTTGGCACAGTGGTTAAGTCTCCTCTAGAAAGCTCATATCTCCTATCTGAGTGCCTGGTTTCTGTCCCAGCTCCTCTGCTTCTGATTCAGCTTCTTACGATGCACACTCTGGGTGGTAGCCGATGGCAACTAAAGTACTTGGGCCCCTAGAACCCTAGGGGGAACTGGGATGAAATTTCAGGCCCCTGGGACTGGTGTTGCGGCATAGTGGGTTGAGCTGCCTCCTGCAATGCTGGCATCCCACGTGGGTCCTTATTTAAGACTTGGTTGTTCCACTTCCAATCCCAGCTCCCTGCTAATGGCCCGGGAAAATCAGTAAGATGCTCTGAGTGTTTAGGTACCTGCCACCCATGTGGGAAGACCCAGATGAGGCTCCCAGCTCCTGGCTTTAGCCTGGCCCAGCCCTGGCTGTTGCAACCATTCCACCAGTAGATGGAAGATCTCTCTCTCTCCCCCTCTCTCTGTGTAACTCTGACTTTCAAACCAATCTTTAAAAGATTTTGTGCTCCTGGATTAGGCCCGGGCCTGACTGTCACAGGCATTTGGGGAGTAAATGATCAGATGGAAAGCATCTCTGTCTGTCTTTTTCAAATAAATGAAAATTAATTAATTATTTTTAAAAATGGTAGTTGAGATTTTTCTAGAAATGAACACTGACTCCTGTGATGATTTTATATAAACAAACATAGTACTAGACTCTGGTGAAGAGTCTTGTAGCTTAAATAGCAACAAGAGAATTAAGATATAGAAGAAGTAAAGAATTAGATGTAAAAGAGTAGTTCAGTATATATTCAGAAATTTCATGTTATCACTTGAGAGAAACAAAATAGGTTTGGCAAACTGTCTTACTTGAAGAGACATTATCCTCAAATCAGCTAAATTTATGTTCCAATCGCATAGGCTACCCTATAGAGTAAGTCATTTAAGTTATGTTCATGTAAGATAAGAACGCTTTCTTGACAATAAGCTGTCCAGAAATTTAATGAGAGGGCTGTACCTCACGCCCTGTGTTTCAAACAGGAATATAAGCAACCACTTAGTTCCTCCAGACGTTATTTTTGCTCTAGTCCCTCATCTTACTTTCTCAAACTTAATCTAGCTAATAAAATGGAATCTTGGATAATATGGAATTCTCATTAAATATTTGACCACCTTTCACCACAGTGTTGATGGGCTGCTAAATTCT